AAAGTTGAAAATTATTTCATTTTTTAACCAGTTTTTTAAAAAAAACCCACAAATCTTGTTTAAGAAAGCATAAAATTCAAAATTGTAGACATTTATTTTATCTATAATATAATATGAAGTCCTGGTGTAGTGTTGTAGGCTGAGCACTGGACTGCTAAGCTCAAAGTTGGTGGTTCGAACCCACCAGTTGCTCCTCAGAAGTCCTATATAGTCTCACTATGAGTTGGAACTGACTCAACTGCACTTAACAACAACAACACAATATAATCTAAATTGTATCCTATGTTCATGAGAACGTTTTGTTAGTTACAGACACAGCACTTAAAAAAAAAAGGATGGCGTTAGTATGTTGTTGTTGTTATGTGCTGTAGAGTCGGTTCCAAATCATGGCGATCCTGTATAGGGTTTCTAAGGCTGTAAATCTCTACATGAGCAGAAAGCCTCATCTTTCTCCTGCGCAATGGCTGGTAGTTTCGAACTGCAGACCTTGAGGTTCGCAGCCCCAATTCGTAACCACTATGCTATCAGAGCTCCTTGGAGTTAGTATACATATTCTAAAATAAATAGAGAAATTTTATTAACTTAGATTTGTAAATAGAATACTAAGACTTTTATTAAACCTAAGAACTTAAGGAATATTAGGTTTTTATTTATTTCCATAAATTGAATATTAATTTAAAAATCCAAGTAGCCCCCATATCTTTTACTGTTTATAAAAGCTTATTTCAAGAATACCCTAACCTCAAATGTTATCACCCACCTTCTAATCTCCCTAACTAGTGCCAACATTTTGATTTGTGAAGACCAAGATTTGTCCCTTGTGATTTAATTATTTATTCAATCATTTATTTATAAGTATAAACTATTGTTGTTACTAAGTGCCATCAAGTTGTTTCCGACTTGTAGCCACCCTATGATGTATTGTTGTTTTTAAGTGCCGTCAAGTCGGTTCTGACCCATAGCGACCCTGTATAGGGTATCCAAGGAGCAACTGGTGAGCTTGCAGTTCAAACGGCCGACCTTGCAGTTCAAACAGACCTTGAGGTCCAGCGCATTAACCCACAGCGCCACACCAGGACTACCTGTGACGTATAGGTAGTATGAACTGGTGGTGGTGGTTATGTGCCATGGAGTCTGAACCAACTCATAGTGACGCTGTACAAGGTTTCCGAGGCTGTAAATCTTTACGGGAGCAGAAATCCTCATCTTTCTCTCGCGGAACAGCTGGTAGTTTCGAACTGCTGACCTTGCGGTTCGGATCCCAATTCGTAACCACTACGCTATCAGAACTGCTGTTGTCTAACAATAAATTGCCACTAATTGTAACTCATGGTGATCCCTTGTGTATTAGCAGAGCTGTGTTCCACAGAGCACATTTTCAGTGGCTGATTTTTTGAAATTAGATTGCCAAACCTTTCTTCTGAGGTGCCTCTGAGTTGACTTGAATCTCCAACTTTACAGCAGTCAGACAAGGTTAACCATTAGCATCACCCAGGTCTCCTTGGGAGAATTCTCACTCAAATTCCACTGCCACAGAGTAGATTCCAATTTACAGCGACCCCTGTACAGGGTTTCCAAGACTGTAAATCTTTACCGGAGCAGAAAGTCTCATCTCTCTTCCACCAAGTTGCTGGTAGATTTGAACTGCCTACATTCAGTTGGAGTCCTGGTGTGGCGCAGTGGGCTAATGCGTCAGACTGCAGAGTCATTTGAACTGCAAGGTCGATGATTCAAGCTCACCAGCTGCTCCTTGGAAACCCTATACAGGGTCGCTATGGGTTAGAATGGACAACAACCTTTCAGTTAGCACTCCAGTGCTCACTCTACAGCGACACCAGGATTCCTGTTTTTGGAGCGCCCACTGGTGGCAGTTCGGGTGCATGGCTCCCCCTTTTCGAATTCCCGCTTTCTGCCACTTTGCTTTTACAAAAAGCCTACACCAGTACCTGTTTCGTCATCTGGAGTTCGAAGAGATTTTTACTTTTACGAAAAAAGATGGAGAGCGAAACTAACAATCAGCAGCTGGCGGTTAGAGGAAAGGCAAGCTCTTTCCCCAGAAATACACTCAAGTGTCTCGCATCGAACCTCTATCGCTTTGAACTGTGTTTGTGAACACTATGTTATTGTAATTGTTGTAAATGCCGCCCAGTCGGCTTCTACTCACAGCGAGCGACGCTGGAGAAGTGGTGGGTGAGTTTGAACCACCGACCTTGTAGTTCAAACCAAACTTGCAGTCCAGTGCTTACCCAACAGGCCACCAGGACACTATAGTTAGTGGTATTTTAGATTCCATGTGTTATTTGGTATGATTTTGTGGGTTATTTTATTATTATTATTTTTTAAATCTGGGAATGCTTTGATATTTTTCACATATAAATGAATGGTAATTATTTATTCACTTTACACTGTTTTGGCTGATGTAGGGTTTTATAGGAATGCTCTACTTCCAGATAGCCTGGGAAACGAATCTGAAACTGTAAGCACAGTGGTAGGTGGGCTGGGTAACACATTTCTCTGCCTGGCTTGGATGGGAAGGAGATTTATTTGGAGGGTTGCAGCAGGCTTGTCCTGAACTTCAAACTGAAGGAACTACAAGGGCAAGTCCCTTTCTTAGGAGAAAACTTTGGGGACAGCTGAGACCTCACATTGGAAGAGGTTTTGCAGGCTCTTCTTTCATGTGACCTCCCCAGTTCTCACAGATACCTGGCTCTGCCGTTTCTTCTCCACTTAAACAAGGCTGTTGTTAAGTGTCTCTGTTTGAGCCAGTTCTGACTCATAGCTTGTGAGTTTGAACCACTGACCTTGAGGTTCAAACTGACCTTGAGGTCGAGTGCTAATCCTATGATGCCACACCACGAGTCCATGTGGGTGTCTGGAAAACATATTTGTGATTATGGCTTCCCGTCCCTGACTGCACTGATAGTGTTAAGAGTTTGGTACTTGGAAAGGTGGGGAGCAACCAGTGTTCTTTCTTTGAAAATTCAGAAAGCGACTGAGACACAGAGGAACAAGTTGGATAGTTGGTTCTGTTAAAAAGAACAGGGGATCATGGGACAGCCATCTTTGTCTTCCATGTGAGCTGGGTAAGAGAGAAAGCTGATCTGTTGAAGATGAGAAATGGAGCAAGGGTGCCCAAAGAAGCCAGAATTAATTGAAATGCTGATATGTATAGAAACAGGGATGCACCAGGAAAACAGTCAAAACAGACAGATTTGTATGATCTTACTTAAATGGAATGGGAAGCACAGTGGCTCCCTACGATAAGCAGTGGACTGTGAACCCCAGGGCTGGCAGTTCGAGTCCATTAGCTGCTCTGTGTGAATAAGATGAGGCTTTCTGCTCTCGCAAAGATTTTTTTAAAACTTCAAAACCCTATATAGGGTCAGAACCAACTCAATGGCACTTAACAAAAACTTACATGGATACTCATAACTGGAATAGAAAATGCATAGAGATCATTGTTGTTGTTGTGAAGTGCCATCGAGTCTGTTCTGACCCATAGTGACCCTCTATAGGGTTTCCAAGTAGCAGCTGGTGAGCTTGAACTGCCAACTTTGTGGTTCAAATCCACATTGCAGTCCATTGCATTAACCTACAGTGCCAAAACAGGACTCCAAAGACACTATTGTTGTGTTTGTTGTTAAGTGCCATCAAGTTGATTCCAACCCATAGCAACTCTGTATAGGGTTTCTGATGAGCTGCTGATAAGCTTGACCCACTGACCTTGTGGTTCAAACTGACTTTGCAGTCCAGTGCATTAACCTGCAGTGCCACACTAGGACTCCATAGAGACCATGGTGGTTATGTGCCATGGAGTCGGTTTTGACCCTGTACAGGGTTTCTGAGGCTGTAAATCTTTATGGGAGCAGAAAGCCTCATCTTTCTCCCACGGAACAGCTGGTAGTTTCGAACTGCTGACCTTGAGGTTAGCAGCCTGATTCATAACCACTATGCTACCAGAGCTCCTCATACGGAGGTCATATTATCTTGAGCATCTTTTTATGGTGATAAAAAATTTGACAATGAATACTAGCGAGGGTTGAACAACATGATTCATGCAATTTCTGCCACTGAAATGTATATGTAAAAATGTTGAATTGACAAGAAAGAAAGTCTATTAAAAAAAGAAGATGAAAAAGAAGGAGGAGGATGAGGAAGAAGATGATGACAAGAAAGAAGAAGAAGCAACTAGAGTTGAGAGATGAAGATAGTCCTTCCCGGGTTCTTATTTCCAGACCCTCCTGAGGTCCGGCTGCATCCTGCCTTTGGGTTCTTAGCTGCTCTGCTGTTTACTTACTCAAGCTTCTTTTGGTTGCAAGCTATGGGGAGTCCTAAGGAATCCTGTTTTGGTGGCTAATTGCAGTGCTCCTCATTCATTCAGCAAATATCTCTTGACATTTTCTACCCATCACACACTGTTATAGAACCTGAGGAAAGAACAGTGAACCAACTTTTGCGCTCATGTAGTGGAAGATGAGCATTAAGTGAATAAGCAGATACATGTATAACATGCTAGACGGTGCTAAGAGCAAAGAGATGGGGTAGTGCAGTCGGGGTTGCTATTTTACATAGTGTGGTCAAGAACGGGTTATCTGATGAGTCAGAACCTGAAGGAACAGAGAAAGCAGAGGGGGAGGGAGGGGCAAACCGAGAGAATGTTGTTAGTGACCGTTCAGTCCGATCCGACTCATGGTGACCCTGAATAGGGTTTTCGAGGAGTGCCTGGTAGGTTTGAACCCACCAGCCTTGTGGTTAGCAGTCCAGCGCTTACTCTACAGTGCTACACTAGTATTCCAACAGAGACAAGTAGGTGCAAAGGCCCTAAGGCAGAAAGTGTTGAGGAATCCCAAGGAAGCCAGTATGACTAGAGAGGCGAGAATAGGGGCTAAAGCAGAGGTCAGAGCAGTGGAGGGGCTCGAGAGTGCAGTGGAGGGCCTCCTGGGGGCTCTGCTTCACATGTGTTCATTCAGGGCTCGAGCCTCAGAGAAAATACTTCTTACAGTGACGCAGAAGCATGAAGCCCTTAAAGCCTGTGCCTGGAACCAGCACACTGTCACTTCCATCGCGTCCTACTGGTCACACCAAGTCCCATGGTCAAGCACAATGTCAAGGGCTGGAGAACATACTCTGTCCAAAATCAGGCCATCGCAAGGGAGGGCCCGTAACTCAGTCTACCCTGGGTGCTCAGTTCAATGCACATGGTGACTTGCATATTCTCTGGTTTGTGAATGGACATTTTGAATGGGCACCCAGGAGCATCTGAAACTCCTATTTGAGGGAGCTCTTGACCTTGATTCCTTCAAAGAACCTGTACAGCCTTGGGAAGCACAGAGGGCCAAGCTGTTTATAGTATTTGGTGGTGGTGGTCGGGGGGAGGTGGAAAGGACAATTTGTTCTGGCAAGAACTCCACCAGCCATGAGTCTGGGCTTTTGGGATCAGTGTTTGGGCCTCCTTCAAGAGGACTGGAGGCATTGATTAGCAGAGCCATTAGACTGTGGCTGCCAGGGCTCCAGGCCACAGGAGGGAGCTCTGAACCAGAGGAGAGCTTTCAATTTATCTGGAAGATGCTGGGAATAGACTAAGCATGAGCCTGTACCAAGAACATCGCATGCTCTCATTTAATGCTCACCGCAGCCCACTGGAGTTGGTCTTTTTAAACCCACGTAATGGGGCACTTACATCTGCACAGTTATTGTCTTCCCCTGTGTAATTGTTTGAATGGAATTTAGTTGCATGTGATACAGTCCATTTCTCAGCATTGCTGGCCATTTTTGAGACATAGGTCAAGTACCATCACTTTTAAGCTCCATCAAGAAGGTGGTTTAATAGACAATCTGGTGTAATGCACAAATGGTGCTAGGCCCCTGGGAATGACTCCAGAGAGCTTACAAGACTCCCCTCAGATGCCACCTTTGCAATCTGGAGGTGTGTGTGTGTGTGGCTCCTCTGTGGACCTCGGTCTTGGGTCTTGACTCCTTCTCCAAGTACCATATTCATTATCTAGGATGCTATGTGGTCCAGGGGCAGGTTGAAAGCTGTCCAGCCCTCTTGGTGGAACTGAGGACTCGCTGAACCCCAAGCACTGGTCTTTCTCTTTCTGTCTTTCTTCACTACCTGCCTTCATATCAGCCCCCAACTCATGGTTACTTCCTGCACATTGAAATAAAATACTGCCCGGTCCTGGACATGCCTCTATTTAGTTACAGATCAGGTTATTATTGATACATAGGGTTTACATTGGCTGATTTTCGGAAGTAAATAGCCAGGCCTTTCTTCCTAGTCTTAGTCTGAAAGCACCGCTGAAACCTGCATCCTAGCAACACATAAGCTTCCACTGACATATAAGGTACATAAGTTGCATTGACTGGAAATCGAACCCGGATTGCCCACATTGTTGTTTTCGTTAAGTGTTGTCAATTCAGTTCCGACTCATAGCAACACTATTGGGTTTCCAAGGATGGGCTGGTGGGTTTGAACTGCTGACCTTGTGGTTAGCAGTCCAGTGCTACAAGACGCGAATTCTACCACTGAAGCACCATGGGCCCCACTCAGCTGCCTTGGTTGACAGTCCAATTAAGACTCCACACCTAGAAGCTATGGTGACCGGGGAAGAGATGGGTCACTGGGGTGGGCAGGGTAGGCGGAAGGAAGAATGTTTCCTGGCTTTTTCCATCATCTTACCGTCTCTGTTTTCAGCCTGACCATAGGATCATTGCCACACCCCTTTCTTCCCACCGCCCACTCTTGTACCTACCACTATCTCCCAAGTCCTTGAAGGCAGTAAGGGGCAGAGGTGAATTTGGACTCAGAACTCCAGGATCCAAGCCCTTTATCCTCCTCCTATGCCACACCTGTACACATGGTATTGCTTCTCTAGGAGCCTCATTGATTCTGGTTCAGTAGGTCTGGGGTGGGCTCCGAGATTCTGTATTTCTTTTCTTTTAAGTTTTTATTGTGAACTGAATGATAGTTTATATGGGAGAACATCGGCTTTACACCATTGTTTTGTTGCAATGATTACAGTCTCCTCCGTGCATCATCATTCAACAGTATTTGCTTCCATTCCCTCTGTTTTGTTGTTTTTGTTTGTTTGTTGAGGGTCAGGGGGATGTACACAAAAATACTCAGGAATATATAATCATTTAAACAACCAAAGGACACATTCTGCAAGCTTGTCTCCTGGCCACTGGCTCTCAGTCCTTCTCACTTCATGAGTCTAGAGTCCTCAGCTGCTCCCCTTCTCCATGTACCCATCTCTGCTTCCATCTCTGGTGTTGCTGCTTCCCTGGGTAGGGTCCCACATTCCGCTTGTGCTCTTCTCCCTTAATGGTCCTAGGGTCCTCTGTTTCTGGACTGTAAGATTAACTGTTGTTGTTATGTGCCGTGGAGTCGGTTCTGACTCACAGTGACCCTGTACAGAGTTTCCAAGGCTGTAAATCTTTATGGGAGCAGAAAGCCTCATCTTTCTCCCATGGAACAGCTGGTAGTTTCGAACTGCTAACCGTGAAATTTGCAGCCCGATTCGTAACCACTATGCTACCAACTACTCCCCTATTTTTGTTACAAAACTTCTACCTTTACAATTGTGACAGTCGTAATTAGTTCTGATAATAGTTACTCACTATTGAGATTCCGTATTTCTAATATGTTCCCAGATGATGCTAATGCTATAGGTCCATGGACCACTCTTGGAATAGCCCAAGTATGGTGTTTTACAAAGAATTTCTACATTGGTTATTCTTCTTGATCCTCGCCACAGCTCAGTGAAGCTGGCAGGGTAGAAGCTGATGCAGTCATAGCTTATAGGTAAACGGGTTAGAATCCAGAGAATTGGCATGTCATGTTTGAAGTCCCTGGGGTAACAGACAGTGCAAAGAGAATGAAATCCCAGCTTCCGATGGGAACTCAGTGTCTGGACCACCACACTGTACTGCAGGAGGCTGTGGGCTCCAGCCTGCCAGGTGCTGCACCCCGATTCTCGAAAACCATCCTATGTTGGTGTTTCATGTCTCTTACACTCCTGCCTCTGGGAGCAGTCTTGAAATGGTGGTGACTGTCCTATTATTCTGTGGCCCCATTGTTCCTGGCCTAGTGAGGTGCCCCAGTAAAGCGTCAGACTTGGGAAAAGTTGCACACAGCCCTGGGTGGAGAACACACACACTCTACAGAGAAGAGCTTGCTGCTTTCTTGCTCAGGATCAAGTGTGCTTTGAGAGCTGGCCTTGGCCGTGAAAATGGGTCCTATCAATTATGTATTGAAACAATAGAGGCAGCTACAATCTGCCAGGAGGCAGCGATGGCAGAGATGACAACCGACTTTGCCGGGAAATTGAGGGTGGTGCCGAGCGTACCCACAGAACACAGGAAAGATGAGAATTGAGGCCAGTTGTTAAACCTGGGATTTGCTCTGTGAGCAAATCTGACTGGGCTTCAGGAAAGAACCGACATGCTCAGTGCTTGTAATGGTGGTCCGGAAAAGGAGAATGAAGAGTAACCACATCAGTGAGTGAAGATGCTTCAGTCCCTAAGATGTGAGAATGTCTACGTTGGTGAGGTGGAGGCGGGAGAGCCTGCTTGACAGTTGGGTAAACAGAGGCCAGGACAGGACACTTGCCTGAGGCCACAAGCTTATCTTGGGTTCCATTGAGGCCAGGCCCAGTAGTATCAAGTTCTCTCCTTTGCTTCATCTCTGTGTCTTCTCAGGGGCTAGAGATTGTCTGAATCTCTGAGGAAGTACAGAGGGTCTCTGGATTTTAAATAAGGGACAGCAAAACAGAGGAGTTAGACTCATTGAGAGACTCAGGACGAAAAGGGCAAAATCCCTGCATCAGGTAAAGACATATGTTCCAGTGGGCTCCTCATTGCTTATGGTCCCTGAGATCATGCCAATCGTTAAGCATGTGATGACTAACCAAAAGCTTGGTGGTTCGAACCCACCCAGATACCTAAGAAGAAAGGCTTGGTGATCTCCTTCTGAAAAACCAGAATTGAGAACCTTAAGGAGTACAGTTCTACTGGGATCCACACGGGGGCCGCCGTGAGTTGGTATCTCCTCCATGGCAACTGGTGTGGATGGTTGGCTTTGTTGATCTGTTCCTCATATAACAGCCAGCTTGTTTTCTTAGGTGTCATTCCAACCTGCCTCGCATTAGAGCACATGGTTCATTTGCCCTTCAGTAAGTAGCTGTCAATCAAAGGCACAAGCAGTTTTGGAGAAAGTCGTTCCCTGAGGCCCTCAGTTTCTTATTGAGTAAACCTGAGTTGAGCTGACTTCCCAGGAGCTCATTGTCAAGGGGGGAAGGGTGGCAGACTGTAACGTAACTAGAGTTACAGTGCTTTTTATGGAATGAATATCAATATTATTGCAGCGCTGTGGGATAATACATTGGACTGCAAGGTCGGTTTGAATCACAAGGCCGGTGGTTCAAATTTACCAGCCACTCCTCGGAAACCCTATACAGGGCTGCTATGAGTCGGAACTGACTCGATAGCACTTAACAACAATATACTTTCTACAGCAGTGACATCGGTGGGCCCGCTAGGAGGCTGCCCTCGAACATAAATCAGCACACTGTTAACTACACTGAGGAAATCTTTGCTATGAAAAAGGAAAGTCAGCAACAGTTTACCGAGTGTGCTCCCAAAGCTGCTGATCTACCTTCTAGCACGAGGGACCATGCGAATACCTGTGGGTGCCGGCCCGAGGTGCCCTGTTCTAAAACGTTCTTTGTGTATCAGGCACACTAGTAACCAGTAGGAAGTCCCTGTTGGTGCAAACAATTCATGTGCTTGGCTCCTAACTGAAAGGTTGGAGGTTTGAATCCACCTAGAGGCACATTGGAAAAAAGGTCTGGCAATGCTTCTGAAAAATCTGCCATTGAAATCTCTACACAAGTGGAATCTCCACGAGTCAGGGTCAGCACTTGTTGCTAAGTGCTGTTGAGTTGGCCCTTTATAGGGTTTCCGAGGAGCAGCTGGTGGGTTTTGAACTGCCAATCTTGTGGTTCTAAGTCCTGTGCTGGTCATACAAGCACCACACCAGGGTTACTATGAGTCGGACTGA